GAGTACCCCTTATCGCAACCGGGGTCGTGAAGGGACGGCAAACTGAAAATGAAACGGGTTTAAGAAAATATTTTGGGAGTCGCAACCATAATTTATTCTGGAAAAACTGTGAAAAACCATAAAATAAGACATAGTCTACGAAAACTAGATTTTAGGTTCAGGAATTGGTTACGCGTAAGAAAGGTATTAGCACCCTCTACCCAAAAGCAGTACCTTTAATTAAATGTATAAAGTTGACATCGTTTTTCAAAATATTTAATTTTCGCTAAAAAATAATAATATAAAGAAACTATTAAGAAACAAAAAAAATATTTTTTTATATTATGAATCCTACGTATATCCATTTATGATGGACAATCAGGGATCACATAGTTCTTTATCTAAAAAACGGATTGTGAATTTGTTTGAAAATTATTATGGATTGTTTGAAATTTTTGAAAAGTGAATCCAACAAGGATTGACATTTTTTGGTTTTAAAGATTTTGTATTTTTTTTATTTCAAGAACGGTGAGAAGGAGGAAAGAAATCAACCATAGGCCGATGCGTACTTGTACTCCAAAATTTATGATTTAAAAAAAAGACGTTATTTGTGTGTAGTAAAAATAAATAAAACCTTTAGAAAACCTTCAAAGTACAATAAAAAGAGAAAAAGAAGGTGGTGACATACCTTTTTGGCTTTTAGTACATCCCTAGTTCTTCCTTGGTAGTTTCTGTTGGCAGAGTTCCTCTAGCGTGAGCGTAAGAACTTATTTTCCTCTATACTCTCTCTCACCCTTTCTATCTATTATTTTTTAGTATCTCTCTATTTTTTCCGTCCCCCTCTTTCTATGACAGAGTGCGTATTTATATACACACATTGTAATATTCTGGTAATCTTGCCTTAATTGTAAATTAATTGACAATTAACAAAATAGGGAAAGAAATGGTCTTTGCTGCAAGAAAAATAAATCAAAGAATATTCAAGATATTGATTATAATTATTGTTAGAAAATTTTGTCCATTTAAAAATCATAATTTTCTCTTTAAAAAGAAACTAACGCAACAAATTATATCAATATATTATTTTAATTATTGGCATAATATTGATTCAAATTATTACCATATTAAACTAATAATTCAAAAATACTTTAAAGTTTGAAAATTACATATACATTGTTTAGGAAATTTATTTTATTATTTTCTTCTTCCTTTTTTTTCTTTACCCACCATTAATTATTATTCTCTTATTCTTTATTTTTATTTATTTACTTACCCAGACGAAATTGAGTATTGACACCCCTTATGATGCTAACTCTAAATTAATGAAAAGTATAGGAAAATTTATATCTTAGCCTCAGTAGGCCCAAATAATTGGGAGCTTACTGCATTTGATGAGCTTTTCTAGACTTGATATTGCATATGCAGTAGGTAGACTAAGTAGATACACTCAATGTCCAAATCCAAAATATTGGGATGCACTTGCAAGGCTTATGAGATACTTAAGAAGTTCAATGAATTATGCCATTGAATATAATGAATTTCCCGTTGTACTAGAAGGGTACATTGATGCTAACCGGATCTTAGATTCAAATGAGACAAAATCATCTAATGGTTATGTATTCACAATTAAGGGTGGTGCAATTACATGGAGATTAGCCAAGTAAATAATTATTGCAAGATCAACAATATAATTTGCGTTTGTTTCTCTTGAGATGACTGATAGTGAGGCTGAGTGGTTGAAAAACTTCTTAGTGAACAATCAACTAAGAATGAAGCCATCCTCTTCTGTTTCAATACATTGTCATTATCAATCGACAATAGTTATAGCTAAAAACAAGAATTACAATGGAAAGAAAAAATATATATAATTGAGACACAATTTAGCTATGTCGCTGCTAAAGAGTGAAACTATTTCATTGATTATATGAAGTCATAACATAATCTAGCATATCCTTTAACTAAACCCTTGGGAAGAAATTCTTAGAAACATTGAGGGGAACGCGACTTAAAGCACTAGCAAACAAACAAGTGATGATAACCCAACCTTTGTGATTGAAGATCCCATAAATAAGATTCATATGGATAAAAAAAAGTCACTTGTTAGTTCTAATATACCAATTGTCAGAGCGGCTGCAGCGAAATTGTTAGAGTGGAATAACAAACCAAGAGGGTTTTTAATACGAACGTGTGCCTTTTAATTTCTACTTAATTAAACTTACCAAGCAAATAATAAAGACAAATAAAGAGAGTAAGGTTGAGAGAAATTTGCATAGATGATTTTATCCTGGTTCGGATCTTACCAATCCTACGTCCAGTCGCTTATCTCAAAACAAGATAAACAGTTCACTACTCACAAAACAATTACAAATTACAATCACAAAGAAACAATTTGTAAAAGTTTAGAAACCACCTCTCTTGATACCACAAGAGATGAACCTGCACCGCCTTTGAGTCTTCACAAAGGATGAACACCTCCTCCGAATACTTCACGAAGGATGAACTTCCTCTTCCGAACACCTCCTTAGACACACCAAGGATGAACCGACTATTTCCTCTGTCACCGTAGCAACACTTCACCAGCTCCACAGACACGAGTTTCACAAGTCGAACAAAAACACACAAGTCTCAATGATTTCTAAGTACTAGAGCACAAGGGAAGAGTTGTTGTTGATGGAAAATGAGAGCCTATTTATAGACTCACATAAATACTCTTTCTTTCTTCGTTTCCAGCCATTTAACGCTTTTAATCGATTAATACAAGTGTTAATCGATTAAAATGAGTACAACGGCTAGTTTTCAAAAGTCAGAAAATTCCAACAGTCATCTTTAATCGATTATTTTAAGAATTAATCGATTAACTAATCGATTAAAATAGGTATTAATCGATTAAAATAGGTATTAATCGATTATTTCCATGCCAGTTGAGTTTTCAGCACCTGCAACGTTTTAATCAATTAATACTTGATTTAATCGATTAAAACCGTGTGTTTCTGATTCTGAACAACAAGTACAAAGTATGAAAGTACAAAAATCAAAACCTACTACAAATCTAAGTTCTAAACCTTAAACTATAATTATTACAAAAGCTTTTTATAACAAAAACAACTCTTCAAAGGATCTTCATGAATCTTGATATATCTTGACTTGATTTGGACATCATCAAAACTTCATCTTCATCATTTTACTAACGTAATTGATTTTAAATCAAATGTCTACTCCTATGGTGTGTGTGTGTGTGAAAGTGCTAGAGACTACATTATTGAGATGTTAACTTTGTAATTAAATTTTATGTAGTGAAAGAATTTTAGTTTAAACAAAATTTTTAATGATCTTCTTATCGTAAGGGTGGTGTATGATTTGCAACATACACTTGATGAAATCACCTATATGAGTGTCAAGTGGGGCCGCTTGCTTGAGATCTTGACATGATGTCTAAAGCACTCATGAATACCGAACACACACATGGCTTAGTAAGCGCAACCCAGGGATAATAGAAAAGATTGTGGGAGTGTATTGTGATTGATAAACTTCTAACACATGTCAAGTGTCCTTAGTTCATATAATTTGTTATACCAGCTACATTGTGTGTTAAGTTCTCGATCTAGGACTAGTTCATGTAGCATGTTATACCTGCTCTGATGCACTACATCTTATAAAATATAGGAAATTTCTTCTTTTCTTTCTTTCCATCTTTCTTTCTCATCTTTTACAATATGTAGGGGATTGTTATAAAATTTGAAAAAGTATTGCAAAATCGTGCATATCTTTTGCCAAAATTCTCAATGATTTGTTATTTGGTTGACGACTAAAAGTCTCAGTAGTAGTTAGTTATGTGGTTTTGTGAACGTTGGTGGCTAGCTCACGAAACTACCAATTTGTACCCTAAGTTTTGTTTCTTCTCCACTTTCATAGGGTCTATAGATAGATTTTGATTTACTCTTCCAAATACACACTTCTCTCATTTTTCTTTCTTCTTTTAATTTCTTCCTTCTCTCTTTTCTTTCTTATATGAGGTTATTATTTTACTTTTTTTAAAGTTCTTTAATAGTTTTGATATCTTCTAAAATTTTTGCAAAGTTTTTATTATATTACGAGGGGATTATGCAATACAATGTGAATAAATTTTTAAAGAAAATAGATCCACACTTTAAGTAATTTTGTTTGTAATTTTATTATATTTTTGTTCGTAGTTTTATTTCGTAATTTTATTATATTTTTTGTCGGCACTTTCAACCTTAACATTGTGCAATTCCATTAGACACAAATTTAAAATAAGTTCTAAATTCATAGTGACATTAAAATTATGATAAACAATTAATCGATTATGTTCGAAATCTGTGGTTATAATTGATTATAGAGTAGACACATTCAATTACTTTTATCTTACTTTTTTTCTATTTTATTATTTTAAAACTATTCTTTAAAATAGTATTATAATTTTCAGCTTTTTGTTAGTTGTTAGGATTCTATTAACTAGTACTTTGGTAAACCATATTATTTTATAAAAATTTTAGTTTATTCCTTGTAAATATATCCTTTTTTTTAGTATGTCTAGTATTTGTTTTAATTTCTAACTCATTATTCACCTCAATAATTAAAAGCCACAAAGTAACCGGAGAGAATAATGCCAAAAGGAATTGGATACTATATGTGCTAAAATCAAATGATAAGTATATTATAAGAATTTAAACCATATTTTTTAAATAATTTTATATTATAATTTAAAATATAATTTACACATTCGAAATTTGGATTTATTATAAATTTTTAGTTATATCTATAAATAATTATTTATTACAAATTTTAATTGTATTAAAAGTAGTGGTTTACTAAAACACTATACTTTTTGTTAAATTCTAAAAACAAACCAACCAACCAATAATCTGTTTAAAGCAAAAGGGGTCAGTTTATGACATAGGATTTAATTATCTAAATAAAACTGTTCAATGTGTATTTAGCCATAAAAACCATAATGAAAAATAGAGTTGAACTCGCTGTAGCAGCTAAGAAGATAGAAAGAATCTTATCCACATCCGCAACGTAGGAGAGGATCGAAGTTTCATCTTAGAGACACAACATAGCATTACACACCACAAATATGCAAAAGCAGTAACCAGAGAAAAATGGCTTGTGTCTTTTCTGCATGTTCAGGTTCTGCTTCTCTTTTTCAAGGCACAAATTTCTTCCCCTTTGCAACCAAAGGGTCTTCTCTGCACCTCAAAAGATCACTCTCTGCCAAATGTGTAGCTTCTCTGGGAACTGAGATATCAGTGCCTCCAGCAGTTGATACTTTCTGGCAGTGGCTCAAGGAAGAGGGTGTTGTCTCCAGCAAAACACCAGTGAAGCCTGGTGTGGTGGCAGAAGGCTTAGGACTGGTTGCACTCAAAGACATTTCTAGGAATGAGGTTGTCTTACAGGTGCCCAAGAGGCTGTGGATTAACCCTGATGCCGTGGCAGCTTCAGAGATTGGGAAAGTGTGTAGTGGATTGAAGCCTTGGTTGGCTGTTGCGTTGTTTCTGGTAAGAGAAAGGTCAAAGGATGATTCTCTTTGGAAGCACTACTTCAGTATTCTGCCCAAGGAAACTGACTCTACAATTTACTGGTGGGTTTCTTTTGGTATGCTTGTTTAAACATGCTTAATGGGTATTTTGTTTGTTTTCATATGGTTGGTTGATTTAGTTGGTGTTGGTTATTCCAGTGCAGGTCAGAGGAGGAGCTCTCTGAACTAAAAGGTTAGTTAGTTACTTAATTGTGTCAATGTTTTAATGCATAAGCATGTAAATAAATGATGAAAAGATTGTGTTTTGGAGTAGTTGCCTTTGGAAATGCTTGTTTTGTGCTGAGGTTTTCAGCACTGCTGATTGAACTAATTTGTGTAGGGACTCAACTTCTGAATTCAACACTGAGTGTTAAAGAGTATGTGAAGAGCGAATTTAGGAGGCTGGAAGAAGAAATTATACTCCCTAATAGGAAGCTTTTCCCTTCTCCTATTACAATTGATGACTTCTTCTGGGCATTTGGAATTCTAAGATCAAGGGCATTTTCTCGCCTTCGCAATGAAAATCTAGTTGTGATTCCATTAGCTGACTTTGTATGGTCCTTTTCATTTTCTCTCTTTCTGTCGTGTAAACAGAGATAAACATCAACATATCAATTGTTTTGAGATAAAATCAAGAATAAATCTGTCATTTTAAGAGGATTAACTGTCAAAGCTGTAGATATTACCGGAATGCCAACTTTTACCCCTTAAAACGTGCACACTTTACTTGTTTTGTGTATGATATTGTCTTTTCCAAATTCAATTTCTGGATCAGATAAACCATAGTGCCAGAGTAACTACAGAAGATCATGCTTATGAAATTAAAGGAGCAGCAGGTCTTTTCTCCTGGGATTACTTATTTTCCGTAAGGAGTCCCCTTTCTCTCAAGGCTGGTGACCAGGTGAAGTGCCCTTGCCTCTGATTGTTTTTCTCTTCTCACGTTCCGCATGTATCTAAGAAGTTTATACATGAACTAACAAGCCAGTTCTTATTGATCAAAGCGTGTTATGAATTAAATAAGAACATGTTGAACAATCTTTTCCGTGAGAACTTTTAGGAGGAAAAAGTAAGAAGAAAATGAAATGAACTTCTTCACAAGTTAAAATTTGATTATCCATGAACTAATTGTGAAAGTTCTATCATTAGTTTCTCTACATTTTTAATGTTTTACTAGTTGCATAAGCTATCGAGAAATTCATTCCATTTTTTCTTTCTTTTTATTTGTATTAGTCCTTTCGGAGAAGTTTCTCGACGTTGTATTTAGAAGAACAAACCGTGCAATTGGTGACATAAAATACAATGGTAATATATGCTTACACATAACAAAGGGAGGAACTTTTTACTGCAGGTGTATATCCAATATGATTTGAATAAAAGCAATGCCGAGCTGGCTCTGGACTACGGTTTCATTGAACCAAATGCAGACCGGAATGCATATACCTTGACACTGCAGATATCTGAGTCAGACTCCTTTTTTGGTGATAAATTAGACATTGCTGAGTCCAATGGTTTTGGTGAGACAGCATACTTTGACATCTTCTACAACCGCCCACTTCCACCGGGGCTGCTTCCATATCTGAGACTACTAGCTCTAGGGGGCACTGATGCTTTCCTTTTAGAGTCAATATTTAGAAATTCCATTTGGGGTCATCTTGAATTGCCTGTGAGCCGTGACAATGAGGAGCTAATATGCAGAGTGATTAGAGAGACCTGCAAAACTGCCCTTGCTGGTTATCATACAACCATTGAAGAGGTATGATTTGTGTATTACTTTACGGGAGGAAAACCATGCATTAAAACATTTCCCTCTAGTTTATAGGTATAAAGTATCGATATATCCCATTTATAGGTATAAGGTTTCCTTATATGAGTATCACGGATTCTAGAGGAACCGCATGAGATCTTACAATGCACATTAATAGTGTGTGTGGAAGAGAGGAGAAAACAATGTATTACACAGCATTTTCATTTGTTTGATGCGAAAGAATATGGAAGAAAAAGGAGCCAAAAAATTGTCTTTTAGAAACAAAACTTAAAACTTTACTTCCACTTTCTCTCCAATTCAAATGCATTTTTTTTTTCACATATCATTTTCTTTCCTCCCAATCAGAAGGAGCCTAAATTGTGAAATTTTTTTTGTGCTGATTGAACTCAACAAATAAGTAACAATGCACGTGAATGGCAGGATCAAAAGTTGAAAGAAGCTAAGCTAGATTCAAGGCTTGCTATAGCAGTGGGAATTAGAGAAGGGGAGAAGCAGCTCCTGCAGCAAATTGACGAGATCTTTAAGGAGAAAGAATTGGAATTGGCCCAGTTAGAATATTATCAGGAAAGGAGGCTCAAGGACCTTGGACTTTGCGGGGAAAGTGGTGATATCCTTGGGGACCTTGGAAAATTCTTTTAGGAGGAAGAAGCAGAAGCATTAGCAGCAGTTAAGGACAAGCTTTTGTCTACGTTTCCAAAGGACGAGAAAACCTAAACTCTTAGTAAATCACAGAAGAAGGCTTCCAAGACCAATCTATGGCATGCATCCAGTTTATCTTTGAAGAGGATCATAATCAAGTTTTTTGACTCGCCCCCGTTTATTACTTTGATTGTTTGTGTAGGAAGATGCAATGAACTTTTAGAATGCCTAATCTGAATTAAAGACCGCAACATGAACAATTGTTATATAACTATACTGAACTCAAATTTGGATAAATAAATAAATTAAGGGTGAAATTGAAGATACATCTTTGCATGCCTCAATAGAAGCAGATATTTCCCTTTCTTTTTTTCCTTTTTTTTTTCCTCGTTACTTTCTTTTCCATGGTTCTCTACAAATTCATGTGTACATGATATAATTAAAAAGGCCATCATCATGTGTACAGCACTCGAGTAATTAAGTGGGAAGAAGCACTTCATAGATTCCTCTTTAAACTGGTTGTTGGAAAGAAAAGTTTATTTTGACATTATGCAGCTTGTCCTCATTGTATATGACTCGAGTTAAGAGCACCTAGCAAGTCATCACACTTGGATACCTCGCAGAGGCACTCGTAAGGGTTGGCATAGAAATAATCCTCTTCCTTTGGCTTGTCTGCTTCAACTCTACGACGAGTTGGCTGTCCCATTTTTCTTTCATGAACCTTTCTCACAGCATTTGCAAACTCATTCCATGAAAAGGTTCCATTTTGATGCATATCAAGTAATTCTACAAGCTTTTTCCGATCCAATAAGATGGACTTTTTAAAGCCAGAAAACCTGCAAGAGGACAAATTAGAGATTATTTTGTGGATTTTTATCAAGGCCACTATAGTGGAGTAAACCATCATTTTGACTCCTGGAAATTGTATTACTGATCACATTAGTCCCTGAAATTATAGAGATTCCAAATAAATATGAAATTTCCAGTTGTTTCATTAAAGTACTTGAACTTAATCGCTTCCTGTTGATTTAGTTCCTAAAACTATGTTTATGTTATTACTCAAGTCCCATTTTCTTAAAAAAGTTTGGGTTATACACTTTTAGGGACCCAAATGGTGGTTTACTTGCTTGGCCTTCTAATATAAATCAAATTGCAAGTAACAAGAGAGAATGCATGCACACCTGCGGTGGCCTTCAACAAGTTTTGCCATGTTACCGTAATATGTCGGAACAAAGGTGTTACTCGCTACAGAAACAATAAAATCCAAAGCTGCCATTTGTGATGAATGATTCCGAAACTGCAGCAACTCATCATTGGCCAGCAATGTCTCTTTCCTAACCTAAAAGTCAAAAGAATATTGAGACCAGAAGAAACCATTGTAAGAGAGAAATGTAGATCAGGCAGGTAAAGAATATTAAAATTTCTTTCACAAGTATTTTATTGAATTTGTAATATAATTTTTGTTATATGAACTGTAAATGGACAATTCTGCAGAATCCCCTGGAATCCATTATAGCATTTTATTAAATCCGAGTTAAAACACGTGTCAAATCATAATATATCACTATCTTTGCCACGGTTTGCAATCCTTATCTCAGCTTAAAGCTTCTGGTGAATCAGTGGGATTGTCAAGTAAAATAGTAGGATTCGTGGGGTCGTGTGATCCTACTGTGTTACAATCTGATCCACTTTTTTCACTGAAACTGGAAAAATCATGGGAAACCTGTTTTTGACCCAGTTCCACTGAAACCCGAATACTTTAGGCCGCGTCTTTCTTCTAGTTCTTGTGTCTGTCGTTCTGCCTCGTGCATAACTGCTTCTGTCTCTTCTCTCTCATCTACTCTCCTTCATTCTTTGATTCTGATGATATTTTGTGTTTAGAGTTGGTAAATTAAGCTGTTACTAGTTTAAATTTTTTTCACTTATTTATGTTATTTTGTAAGCATTACATATAAATTCATGTACACATACATATATTACGGATTTGGTAGGTTCTTTCAAACGGTGTAATGATCCAATGATTTATGATCATTAGCTCCCTTCTAGATCCTAAGTAGCTTCTCAATTTCAACTATTTAGATTATATCAAATATAGAACAACAAAAATAAAAACAGAAATGACGTGGGGATAGGGTATTGGTGAACCTACAATTCTTGGAAAAGCAGCTCTCAGTTGTGCTAATCTACGTTCACCACCATAAATTTCACCAGCTGCAATATATATTGGTGTCTCCCTAGCAAAACCCAAAGCTTGCAGAACTAAGGCTGCCTCCTCTGGTGTCAAAGGACAGAGACCCTGTGATCTCCTTTCTTCAGACACTATCTCCTTTTCTCTCCACGAAGGGAATGCATACCTGAATTACACAAGCAAGATAAAAAATTTTGAGATTGACCCTTTTTCTGCCAGCTCATTATAAATAACACTGACAACAGGAATATTTATTTTTTATGGAGGTAACTAATGTGTATTGTCAAAGTATGCAAAAACCAACATGTCAGGTTACTCGTGAACTACATAGACAGTTCCTCCATCAGCCCATGCAAATAGCATAAGGGGCTCTCTAGGATAGAACTGGAGGCATAATTAACTATCTAGAACCAATGACAACAGCTGTGATAGAGTAAAAAAAATTCTAGTGATCAACATCTTCCCCAGCAACTCTCAGATAAGAACCTACCTCTCACAAAAACCTATCCATAAATATATGCATAGTAAAACAAGAAAAATATGATACCTCATCCGCTTGAGCTCCTCAGCTTCTTCATTAGTGCAACCAAGCGTACAACCTGAGAAAGCCAGCATGTCCATTTCATATCTCAGATGCAAGGCCACAAAGGGTCCATTTTTACTAAGTATCCGAATCAATTTTTGGCCCAAATTCTCAAGTTCAGGAGTGAATTTAAGTGCCTGGAAATTCACACGACACCTAAGTTTCTGTAGATCAAGTGGGAGACCATTATTTGCTAGACGCGCATCTGTTTTGTTGAAATGTACCACCTTATGCTTGTCAAAAAGCGGAAGAATCTGCAGTGAGGAGTCAAGAGCACCAAATTAAACACAAAAAGACATGTACAACTCAATGAAAGAGGGAGGAAGAGAATATAATCATGATTCTGATAGTACAATCAATACAACCCTAAATCTGTCTACTGTATCCTGCATTTTCCTGTCCATATTTTGTTTCCTCTCTAAAGGACAAGTCAGTAATAATGCATCTAGTAATTTACAAATTACCAATTCACAGTGAAGAAGATCATATAGCCAAAAATCCAATGGGTATTGATAAAGAGAAACAAGAACTTTAAAGTTGTAACATGGAAGAAAATCCTTAGTTACCTTTTCTCCATTCACCCACATGGACATGTGTAAAAAATTAGAGAATCAATTCATTACTGAGAAAAATATTAGCAATTTTGTGGAACTCCTATTTTATATACAAGTGATCCCTGCTTTTATAGTCTAGAAGCATCTAATAACAAAATCAACAGTACAAATCTACAACATAAGTGCATAACTGGCAATCAACAACAAAATTATAATTCAGATTACACATCCATAATAATAGATACTCCCATATTTAATTTGGCAAGAATACAATTTCTGACATTTGTCATCTGCCTTACAATCATGATCATATAATAAAACTTAGAAATAAGATGACCATTATGATAGAACTGATATTGGAATAAGAAAAGATACAATCTTGAATTTTATTACCCTGCTTAATTCCAATCTTGTACCAGTGTAGTACAAATAGAGTCAAACGAAAAAAAAAGAAGGAAGACTGTAGTACACAAACAATCAGAGGTTATTTGAGAACCTCACTCTCCAACTATCGTTCTATTTCTGTTTTCTCCAAAAGTCTTTCCTCCTAACTCTCCTAGAACTATTATAAATAGTTCAGATACAGTTATAGTAACTACAATAACTTTTCCTTCTTTTATACTACCATAAGTTCTCCTTCTTTTACACATTACCGAACCTACCACTACACCCTCCATGAAGAATCATCTTGTCCTCTTAATGCAGGCAGCCCATTCCCAACTATTCTCACTTTCTCGAAGTTGTTTCCAGTTGAGAAAAACTTCTAACTCCCCTTTAGTATTAGTCCAGGTGTCCTATAGTTGTTCAGGAGTCACTTCAAGAGTATAATCTTTAGAAATCATAGGAGGTGGGGTTGTGAAGAGGTGGCTGGTCGTATTGCTGGTTTAAGTAAAGATACATGAAAGACTGGATGGATATGAATGTGTTCAGGGAGCTCCAACTTATATGCAACCAGCCCAATGCGTTCCACTACTTGGTAGGGTCCCTAAAAATCTTGGACTAAGATTTTCATTAAGCCTCCTTGCTAAGTAAGGATCAAAGTCATGTGGCTATAATTTCAAGAAAACCCAATCCCCTACTTAATATGCCACATCATGTTTGTCTTTATCACCTTGTACCCGATTTTTATCTTTTTCCTTCCACAAATTTGTCTTCGGTTCCCTTCAATATTTCATCTCGTTGCATCTACATCTGATTCACACTTTCCACTATAGATGGGATAGTAGTTCCCTTCAAATGTATAGGAGGATTACTCTCATAAAGTGCTTTAAAAGAGTCATTTTTGTTGAGGCACTATAGTTTGTATTAAACCATAATTATGCCTAGGGTAACCAATCTATCCATTGCCTAGTCTGAGTTTCAAGTCAGTGATTGACAACTTTTGTTTGATTGATGATGGTAAGTTGTCGTGTACTTTAATTTATTCCCAACCTGTTTAAACAATTCCCTCCACATTGCTTACATCTTTGGGAATTGGCCACCTCCACATTGCTTACACCTTTCTTGGGTCAGCTTATACTCCTTGACTTCAAATAATATGACCCAAGTACTCTAGACTAGGTTGACCCAAACTACGTTTCTTTTATTTATCTTTAGTCGTTTTTCTTGAAGCACCATTAGTACTTTTATTAAGTGTTGAACATGAATTTCAAAAGAGTGGCTTTAAACCAGAATATCATAAAAAAAAAACAATACAAACATTCTTAAGAAAGCCCGAGTAACTCATTCATCAGTAATTGAAATGTGGTGGGTGCATTTGACAACTCAAATGGCATGACTAAGACTTCTTAATGACCATCACGAGTCCTAAATATGGTTTTCTCAAGATCTTCTTCTTTCATGAGGATTTGATGATATTCAGATTTCAAATCCAACTAGAAAATATCATTGCTCCTGTCAATTCATCTAACAATTCCTCTATAACTAGAATGGGAAATTTGTTACGAATTGTTAATACAAAACCTCCATCCACCATTCTTTTTCTTTAGCAAAATAATAGTG